TTTGCATTAATCACTTCACATTTGTGTGTACGCCATTTTTTCATTTTTTCCTGGTGAACCATGACCATAATCATGTTTCATTGGTACATATAGATAGATTTAATCGTTAATGATAACCACTCATTTTTTTTTGTTTGTTTGTTTGATTTGATTTTGATTTTGATTTTGATTTTGGATTTTGTTTTGTTTGATCAACCATATCGTACGCTGTTACTCGTTGTTCATTTTTTTTTTTGAATTAGGCCACAATCATCAAAACTTATTAAAGAGAGAAAGTGAACTTTATCATCATCATCATCATCATGATGATCATCTTAGGTTGAAAAATTTCATGTTTTTTTTCAATTAAAAATTTTTTTTACGAGATGTTTATTATAACAACAACAACAACAACAACAGTGATGACGATGAAATTTGATTGACATTTCTGATGTGATTATGATTGCAATAATTATGGCCAAGTAAATAAATCAAAATTTTTTCATTTTCATTTTCATTTTTTTTTTTCGAAGATGATCATAAAATGAATTTGTTTTTATCGTCTATCGAAAGTAAATGTTGGCCACATTCTTTTTTTCTCCATATCAATGATGATGATCATGATGATGATAATTTATGATATCTTGATCATTTGTTCAATGTCCAATGATGATGACCAGAACAAGATTCGTTGATTTAATTGCATTTTATTTTTTTTATCAATGTTCACAAAGAATCATCATTATCATTATCCGTTGTTAAATATATTGTCTTGTATATAGTTGTAGTAGTGGTGTATCATCATCATCAAGTATCATTATTATTATTATTAAAAGTCGATTAAAATTTTCATCATAATCATTATCATCATCATGATCATCATCATTGTGTTTGAATGAAACACTGGAAGCAGCAGCGGCAGCAGCAGCAGCATCTTTTCATTTTTCTTTAATCACATTCGTGACTGTAAATGTTTTTTCGGTTCTTTTCATTCTTGGGGCCAATTTTTTTTTCTGGTGAAAAACACAACATCAAAAACAATTAGTATTTACCTGGGTTTTTTTCTCTCTTTACAGTAAAAAAAAGTGTGCGGGAAAGAGGGGGTATCCATAACCGAATCTTGATTGACTTGATTTTTTTCAGCCATTTGAATAGGTGAAAAAACCTGATGATAACCAAGAAAAAAAAACTTTACTGGTTTTTCAATGAACATACACAATGAAAAAAATGACCGTCGATTATCTATATACATTCATCCGGATTGTTTTTACTTGGTTAGATAGTGGTTGTTCATCATCTAAATCCAATCTATCATTTCATGGTTTTTTTTCACCATCAATGCAATGGATTTATTACCACCACCACCACCACTACCATATCTTGATGAGCTTAAATTGTTTTATTATCATCATCATCATCATATTTTAGCATCTTTTGAACTAAGAAAGTCGAAACCAATTAGAAAAATATTAATCCCAACATTTCACATTTTCAAGGTGATATCGGATCATTTGTGAATGATACAGCAGATACATTTTTCTCGGAATTAACCAATTTAGATGAATCAATAAGATTTTTTGGAAAAAATGAAATACTACTGCCCGAATCAATAATAGCTAGATGTTTTTTATTTTTGAAATCAATCATAATTTTCATTACCATTCGATCTGATTTGATATTTGAAACTTCATCTTTTTTAGATTTATCTTTTTTTTCTTTCTTCTTTTTTGAATAACAAGCATCAGTATTATGATTAGTTTTTTTACAGTGCTCACAAAATTTATTTGATTTCTTGTTGTTATTTTTATTATTGTTATTATTAGACGATGACGATGGTTTTTGAAATGAATTTTCGTTACGATTATAATGACATTTTGATGCATTTTCAAAAGCTTCAGCTTTAGCCAGGACATCATTTGCTGTTCTCGGGAGCTCCGATAACGCTATAATTTTTTCACGTAACTTTAAATCCAATGCAGCCATGAAATGATTTCGAACCAATTGTGTCTTATTGGATTTGGCAAAATTAGGATATACTCTTTCGACACATGTAGTAGTTCTTTGAAGAAGTCTACTTAATGATTCGTTTCTATCTCTTTGAATGAACATTAGTTTCATAATATTTGCAACCATATTATGTTTGAATTTTTCTTCGAAAGCTCGTTTAATTTTGGAAAATGATTTTTGATCTGATTCGGTTAAATCTTCAAATAATTGTAAAGCTTCCGAATCTGCACGAAGCATAGCTTGAAAAATATCAGCACTTCGACAATCAGTCCAATTATTAGCCTTCGCAATTCTACTAAATTCATTTAGATAGCTTTCAATTTTGTCATCTTTTTCCATACGAGAAGGACGAACCACCCACTTGTCTGGATCATTTGATTGATTAGTAGTATTTGTTTGAATATTTTCGGCCATTCTTTAAATACGAAAAACAAATCGGTTGTTTAATAGAAATTAGCTACCACCATGTAATAAACGTTGAAACCGAGAGGATGCACGTTAGGCATAAATTGGACGCAGGAATATTTAATCAACGAATTTTATTTATCATAATATTTTTAAAGAAACGCGGAGACAATATCAATACAACTAAACTCATCAATCGTACAACAATTGGTGAGCTCTAAAAACAAATCACCTGACTTGAGACCAAGAAGAGAGACATTCATAGACCTCGTTACACCGTGAACGACTGTCACAAAAAATTGGTAAGGTTATGACACTGTGTATGACCTCAATTTATTCTTTGATGACCATGCTTTAATTATCTATCGGTATTTTTGAGGCAATTTTTGAGTACATTAGGCATCATCATCTTGCATTTGAAGATGACCAAAAGCATCAGAAAAATATTAATAACCACCAAGGTGTAATCTTAATTGCTCAATTATGAATATTATTCACGTGTGTAGTGTGTGTGTGTGTGTGTGTGTTTTTTTTTTTGTCATTTCACATCATCAATTTTTGTCTTTTTTATTCGCTCTATTTGTTCATTTAAATACATTTTCCAGTGTGGAAAACCAAAATTTTCCAAATACCTTGAAAGGTGAACCTAAATTTTTTTTTTTACATTAAAATAATATCATCATCATAATCATAATCATAATGGCCATTATCATCCATTTTTGTCCAACCAAATATTCTATACAAGATTAAATAAAAATGGGGCCAATGGCCATATTTAAGTGATTTTGGCATCGTCGTCGTAAGTCGTTGAGATAAAAATTGAATCTCATCATCATCATCATCATCTTGATGTTTAAAAATGTGGCCATTTTTGTGTGCTTTTCGTCAAATTGCCATCATCATCCTTTTTTTTTTTTTCATTGCCTGGCCATTCACCATTCATTCATTCATCATCCATCCACACACATATTTATATAATCCATATGGCTACGAATTATCATCATCATCATCGTTGCGAACATTTTTTTCATAATAATAATTTTTGAAAACTTTTGAAAATAAAAAAAAAAAAATTTCAATGGCAACAAGAATTACATGGGCAACACCTTTTTTGGATGGATGGATGGATGGATGACTGTGGTTTTTGATGTTGTTTCCCTTATTCACGTTGCTTTTGTTGTTGATTAACACTTTGTATTTGTGTGTGTGTGTGTGTGTTGTTGGCATTTTCACATCATCACACACACACATTGGATAAATAGGCAGTACGAATCCAATTCTATCATCATCATCATCATATATGATGATGATGACTGTGTAACATTGGAATAAATGAAATGAAATCTTCAAATAATAAACGTATAATGATGACTAATGTGTGGTGGTGGTGGTGGTGGTGGTTGTGGTTGTGGTTGTGATGGCTGATGATTTTATTTTTTTTTTTTTCTTTGTGCACTGAAATAAATTCATTCATCACTGTGTTCAATGTGGATGATGATGATGATGATGATGATCATACACAGAATGCCGATATTATTATTATTTTTTTCTTGGTGGTTTTTTTTCCACCATTTTGGCTCGTGTTTTGATTCTCTCAACCACCACCACCACCACCGCCGCCTGTACACACAGGTTTAGATTTAGATTTGGATATTTTTTTTTCATTTTATTTTGTCGATTATTTTTTTTTTTTACACATTTAAAAGCAAAAATAAAGACAAAATTACACGGGCGTTGATCACGATCAAGTGATGATGATGATGATGATGATGATTATAATGATCATCAAGTGATTGTGATGTTATCAGAAAAAAAGGCATGAACAGACAAAAAATTTTTTTTTGGTAAGAAAAGAAATGAAAAAAAAATGAATCCGAACCAGATTCACAGATAGTTAATTGAGTTATATAAATGTGTAATCTAATTTGTTTTCGTTTGTTTGTCTTAATTTTTCCGTTATTTAATAATAATTATGATCATCGTGGATGTTTGTTTGTTTGTTTGCTTGCATATATGGAAAGAGAAGAAAATGAAACACACACACACACACACATTTGATATAATCATCATCATCATCATAGAACAATATGGCTTTTGAATATATCGATTGATTATTTATCTCTTTTTTTCCCCTTTTTTTTGTCTTTTTTTTCCATATTTAGCCTGATGAAAATTTTCATTTTTCTTTGTGGTGGGAAACCTTGTCAACATTTTTAATCCATAATTCATCAATACAATTTGGACATTTTTTTTGGACATTGATCCATTTGATTGATTCTTTTGAAATTCGAAATTTTTGTCATATATGCTACAACGCCTTGCATTTGGGATAAAAAAATCGATTCAATGGTGTGATTATAACGATTGATTAACGGAGAAAGGAAAAAAATTTTTTATTTGTGATATGTCTACACAACGACAACAACGTTCATCATCATCATCATCATTCGACGAGCATCATCATCATTATAATTGCTCTTCAAAATTGTCCAACGATTATCCACATATGAAAATGGCAAAAATGAAATGTATAAAAAATCAATCATCTACTAATATTAATGATAATCAAAATCATATAATCACAAATCGATATAATCGATATACAACAATCGATACTGTAAATAATAATCTTTCATCATCATCATCATCATCAAATTATTTAATGTCGATAACAATACAATGCTATCTAACCATAATGGCATTGATCTTTATTACATCATCATCATTCATCACCATTGTCGATGCACGTCGTTCAGGTATGTTGTTGTTTTTGTTGGTTTGTTAATTGAAAAAATTCTTTTCATTTTTTTTCCTTTTCCTTTCTCTATCATCATCATCATCATCATCAAAATTTCGTTTCGTTTCATTTCATTCGATTCGATTCGATTCGATTCAATGATGATTATTATGGTGATCTATCTATATAACTTTTATCGATATATGAAAAAAAATGAAAATGAAAAAAATGTAAACCATGTAGTTTTGATGTTCATCAAACACCAATAATCATCAATCCATAAATTCAATATATCAATATATATAATAAAATATCGCCCACAAAAAAATAGCTAGTAGTAGTCATCAACACATTTATTCTTTTCATTTTATACAATATTCCGCCAGTGTGTGTGTGTGTGTATGAGAGAATGATGTAATTACATATTTTATTCGCATGTCAATTTTTTTTTCTTCATTACACGCACTGTATCTTATAATCATCTTGATGATGATGATGATGATGATTATTATTTTTTTTTGTCATTTACAATGTTGCAGCAGCAGCAGCAAAGAATTGTCATTGTAAAAAAAATTGCAAATTGAAAAATAGTGGCAGTGGTGGTGGTGGTGATTGTATATATTACAAGTTGATACATTCGTTGTTTTTTTTTTGTTGTATTTTTGACTAGGCAACATGTCAAATGATGTAATAATGGTGATGATGATGATATTCTTGATGTTTTTAGTGTAGATTCTCATACACACTCATCATCATTACATGTATAGATTTGTCAATGTGAAATTATATATGTGTTTTAATGTAATATAATGGAAAAAAATGTTTCGAACAATAAACCATAATGATGATGATGATTTGAAGCATCACTCATTTTTTTTTGTTCTTGCAGTCAAATTTATCAATCCATTCTTAATTTTTTTTTACTTCTGGGTGCTACCATTATCATCATCATGTCATATGATGATGATGATGAAAATTATTCAATTTTCTGATTGACTTTGATTCATTTGGTTTATAGTCAATTTTTTTTTTATTCATTCAATTGCTATAAAAATACCCATATGGTGGTGGTTATATAGATCAATTGATAGTAGCTTGATCTTTTGACATTTGACAACAACGACGACGATCCATCCATTACATATTTTATCTATTTGGTTATTTAGTGGCCAATAATAATAATAATAATATCAAAAAAAAAAAATGGAATCTTGACATTTCATTTTAAGATTTGAAAGAAAGAAAAAAATTTTTTTATCTTTCATTTTCCAAGAGAAATATAAAGAGATTGAGATAAAAAATCATTTAGCAATTTTTTTTTTTTACATTTCCTTTGATTGCTTGATTGTTGCTTGGTTGTTGCTGTTTGGCGAAGAAAAAGAAACCAACACATCAACAACAACAGTCGCACAAAATCATCATCATCATTGATCTTGAACATTTTCTTTTGCTTTCTTTCTTTCTCCCACTGATATATATGATGATGATGATGATCATGTTCAGTTTAGACATACGCACACACAATTTATGAATTTTTTTTCCATTTTTGTTTTGTTTTGTTTCGCTTTTTTTGCACACACACACACAAAGCACATATTGTGGACTAATATTTTCCATATTTTTTTCTGTGTTTCGTCGTAATAATAATATAATAATTTTTATGCAAACAACAACAAGGAGTTGGCCGACCAAAATACGAAAAATGTGTGTGTGTGTAGCATAATCCTAGCCAGGTAATATACAAATATTAGCAGTGAAAAAGAAAAAACTCGATCATCATCATCATCCATAATGATGATGATGATGGAAACAAAACAACAGAAAAAACAGAAAAAAAGTTTCATCAACAAACGAATGAACAAATGGAGAGAAAAAAAACACGTATAACACAAAGCATGCAACGCGAAAGAATTGATGAAAAAATTCAAATTAGGCAGCCTAAATAATAATAATTTTTTTGTTCATTTCTGTTTCATTGATTATAATTTTGTTGTTGTTGTTGTTGTTGTTCAATTTAGTTTAGTTTTTTAGATATAAAAAAACTTTGTGCATTTTAGCCGACACCGCCTCTTTTTTTTTCTTTGTTGTTGTTGTTGTTGTTTTGTTTTGTTTCGATTTCGACAAAAAATCATCTGGAAAAACAAAATCCCAAATGATTTTGAATGATGTGATGATGATGATGATGATGAAAATGGAAAAAAAAATGAATGAATGAAATATTGACACTTTTCATTCATGTGTTTGTATTGTATTTGTTTCCAGTGATTTTCGTTTCCAGTGAAATGTGTGATTTTGAATTTATTTTATTGATTGAAAAGATTCTATTTGATGGTTGTGGTGTTGTATATTTATTTATTTATTTTTGGTTGATATGGTGATTGGTTATTATTTGGATGGAGGATTTGTGGTCGATTTATGTGTGTGTGTGTGTGTGTTTTGTTTGCGTAACAGTATGACATTTTTTTTGCTCTTTCGTTTTGGTTATATATTGACCAACAGAATAAATCGACAACAATTGGACAATGTATGGAATGTGTGTGCCTATCTAAATTAATGAAGATTAACAATGGCCATTAACCATTGTTGATTTTTCTTTTGGTCGCCTGGCTATGTTTTTTTTTTTGGTTCGTTGTTCTAATTCTGTAAAACATTTCCAACTAACCAACCAACCAAAAAAAAAAAAAACCCCACCGACCAATTTATAATCTCATATTCTGTATATATGTGTGTGTGTGTGTGTGGTGTGGGTGGTTGGTTGGTTTTTTCAAGCATCACCAACATTGTTAACAATGATAATATTGTATATTGTTGTTGGTCAATAGAATTCTTATTCGATGTTTTTTTCCCCTCATTCCATTTCATTCATTCATTCATTCATTCCTTCTATCATTTATGGTCGTTTGTTTGCTTGATTTAATTATCGTTTTTTTTTCATCTTGTTTCGTTGTTCAATGTGTGTGTATGTGTGTTTGGGCTCATTAATTTTCGACTTATTTCATTCTTTTGCAGAGAAAAAAAAACACTATGATGACAGTATGAATGCTATTTGCGTGTTGAATGGTCCAAAAATCGAATATTTTTTTTTTTTTGCTGTTCCACAAACCAAAATGAATGAATGGAAAAGAATGTTACATTTGAAAATGGAATAAACATTTTGTCGTCGTCGTTGTTGTTGTTGTTGTTGTTGTTGTAGTTGGCTAATCCTTTTTCAGTAGAATTCTATCTATTTAACTAGAATTTTTTTTTTTTCATTTTCATTTTGTCATCATCGTTATTTTCAAATGTTATTTATTGGACTCTCTAGCTATCGGTTGTTGTTGTTGTTGTCAAGATCAATGAAATAGGAATTTTCCATTTACAATACTCATTTGTCTTGACTTGTGCGAATGAATGAATGAATGAAGAATTTGGTTGAATTTTTTTTTCTATCTTTGGTGGTTCATGACAAATATTCTGGTGCCATAGAAATGGAAAAAATGAAAACAAATAATTCTCTCTCTCTCTCTCTTGCCAAGATAATTAATTGAAATGAAAATTTTCAAATTTTTTTTTGCTCTTGTTGTTGTTGTTGTTGTTGTTGTTGCTGTTCCAAACGACCTGTTTTTTCTTTGTCGTTGTGATGTGATGATGATGATGATGATGATGATGATGTACACACTACAACACACTTGATATTTTTTTTTGTTGTTTCAGCAAAAATCTGGCTGAATTTTTGTTGATACACAAATTCAGCCAGAATCAAGCGACAAGAAACTTGAATTTTTTTTTTATTTCCCCCACATTCAAGTATGCAATAATAATGATGATGATGATGATGATGATGATGATGAAAAACTTGAAAATTGCTCAACTTTTACCCATTTTCTTCTTCTTCTTCTTCTTCTTTTTCACATCCGGAAATTGAAGAAGTGAATGTTGAAGAAAACATTTTTACGATGATGATGATGATGATCTTACAAATTTTTTTCCATTGTAATTTTTTCGTTGTTCCATTTGTTTTATTTTTTTTGCATTTTTCAAATGAATCAATGAATACATCTTTTTCGTGACTTTTTTTTCTTCTTCAACTGGAACTACTACTACTACTAAACATCATTCATCATCAATTCCAATGACCAACAACAACAACAACAACAACAGTCAACTACAATACAATTTGTGAATGGGAAGACTTTGGTGCTTTTGGTTGCTCATTTGATTCGTTGTTATTGTTATGGCCTGTTTTTCCGTTGTCTGTTGTTTTTTGTTTAGAATTCCATACCAGATTTGAATAAATTAATATCACAGATTCATTATTATTATTATTAAATTGAAATATAATAATAAAATGGCAGCCATTTTGTCATGTATGTAATTATAATTATAAATATATTCATCTGGTTCGTGTGTGTGTAGGCGATAGAAAATTAATTAATTAAACATACCTTTTTGGCCCACATGTCTTTGTCTATCTCTCTGTGTCTGTACTTGCTGCACACACACACACAGACACAGAGATTTCTGGCTAAAAACAACAAGATTATGATGATGATATCATTTGCTCTAATATAACAATCATAATAACTAAACCGTTTTTGTTTTTTGGGTAAAAATGAAAGAGAAAAACAAAAGAAAAACAGGAAAAAAAACATGATCCACAAGAGAACCATATTGTTGTTGTTGTTGTTTTTTTTTCGTATGATTCGTTTCTGTTTGCATGGTTATTATTATTCTAATCAATTTATTCATCATCATCATCATGATCATTATAATTGAACTAAGTTTTTTTTCTAATTAAATTACTTCGTTAAACTTTTATTAGATATACTTGTACAGCTTCTTAGTGTATTATATCATGATGATGATGATTATGGTGAGAGATAGACATGAATGAATGAATGAATAAATGATTTTATCGTTTGTTTTACTTGGTTGATTGAATTTTTTTTTTTTGTTTTGTTTTGTTTTGTTCATCATCATCATCATAATAAAGTAAAATGAAATTAGAATCGGTTGAATTCTATAGTGAATAACGTACGT